TTTTCAGTAAATGGTGCTTTAATATATGATTAAAAACATGAACCTCAACACTACACCTCACACAAAAGTTCCTCAAAATGGATTATAGATATAAGTATAAAAGCTTAGTTATAAAAATAATGAAAGAGCCCTAGCTAGTATGGCTCAATGGGTAAAGCATCAGCCTGCAGACTGAAAGGTCCCGGGTTCGATTCCAGTGAAGGGCATATACCGGGGTTGCAAGCTCCATCCCCAGTAGGGAATGTGCAGGAGGCAGCCGATCAGTGATTCTCTTTCATCATTGATGTTTCTATTTCTCTCTCCCTCTCCCTTTTCTCTGAAATCAATAAAAATATATTTAAAAATAATAAAAATGAAAGAAAAAAATGGGAGAAAATCTTAGTAAGCTTGGAGTAGGTACAGAATTTTTAGAAAACCACTAATCATAAAAGAAAAAAACCCTGATAAATCAATCAAAATTTAACCTCAGCTCCTCAAAAGATACCCTTTAAAAAATAAAAAGGAGTGGGAGAAAAAAATACTTGCAATAAAGGTACCTAACAGGACCAAGATGCAATGTAAAGTTTTACTTTTCAGTAAGACAAACCACCTAATTTTTTTAAATCTGCAAAAGACTTAAACTTAAATTTTACTAAAAGAGATATATGAATGGCCAATAAGCACAAAAAAGATGCTCATCATTATTTGTCAGGAAAATAAAAATTAAAACCATGATATACTCCGTCACACAAACTAGAAGACAAAAATTAATAATATCCAAATTGGTGAGGATGTAAACCAACTGGAACTTCTCATACATTGCTGGAGGGAATGCAAAATGATAAATTCCAACTCTATGTATTTGCCCAAGGAAACAAAACATATCCACATAAAGAATTGTCCACAAATACTTATAAAAACTGTATTCACAGAAGCCCCAAACTGAAAAAAAATAGTAATTTCCATCAACAGGTGAATACAGTATATACTGTATATAGAACTGTTGTGTATAAAACTGATACAATATGAATTGACCTTAAATACTATTATTAATCCTTCCTCATATTTTGTACTAAAAAATGATTTATACTTTTTGCCAAGAACCAAAAGAAATCAACTCCCAGAATTGAGAGTTACATATCTTACAGACAGCCAGTTAGTAGTCTAAGGAAACTGGTGGATTCTTATATTTCACACTCCCTGGACAAATAATGTGACCCCTTTCAAACACTTTTGAGCATTTGTAAATTATAATACTTTAAAGAATGTTTTTATTGATTTCAGAGAGGGGGAGAGAGAAACATCAATGAGAATCACTGACTGGCTGCCTCCTACATGGGCCCTAGTGGGGATCCAGCCTGAGCATGTGCTCAACCACTGAGCACCACAGGCCGGGCTACAATACTTTTTAAATTATAAGTTAACTTTATTTCTTTTATAAAAGGTCAAGTATTATGTTAATTTCAAAAATTTGTTAGGAAGAACTTATTTTCTATAAATTTCATTTAGGATGACATAGGTAGCACCAAAAAGTTAATAGAAAATGAAAGTAGCCCTAGCCAATTTGGCTCAATGGATAGAGCGTTGGCCTGCGGACCAAAAGGTCCCGGGTTCGATTCCAGTCTAGGGCACGTGCCTTGGTTGCAGGATTCTCCCTGGCCCCGGCCCTGGTCAGAGTGCTTGCAGGAGGCAACCAATCAACGTGTTTCACTTACTAGTACATCGATGTTTCTATCTCTCCCTCTCTCTTCCACTCTCTAAAAATCAATGGAAAAATATCCTCAGGTGAGGATAAACAAAAGAACTTTAAAAAAGAAAAGGAAAGTAGGCCTGATAGTATTGAGAATTACTACTCTACACCTGAATTTTGGTCATAATTTTCTACAGAATCCTTATGATCAACTGTATTTTGATCTAAGGAAACACTAGGGTTTCATATTATACTCTGGAATTCTAAAACTATGCCAAATTGGACTCCCTGGGGAGAGGGACCTAGAAATCCAAATTTTAACAAGTGTACCAGGTGATTCTAGTAGCTAATATTTGAAAACCCCTATCTAAATCTAAAAGTTAAGAGTGTAACTGGAACATGTTATGTGGCCTACAGAAAGGGCTTGTGTGGTTATGTGGCCTACAGAAAGGGCCTGTGTGGGTATGTCATTTTTTTCTTAATTACCTGCCAATATATATTACTAGAGAAACTTCACCCAAAATTCAGACTTCAGACTTCTTGTTAAAGAAAAAAAAGATCCTTCAACACTGGCCCTGCATTCTCACATGACAATCCGCTGGAGCTAAGTAGAATTTGCCACCTCCCACTCCCCCACCATTCCCTATTTGCAGGCTCACAATTCTCTATCTCAATTACCTGCTTTGCTCCTGCATGTATTGTAGTTTGATCCATGGTGCCTGTACCCACAAGTTAATTAAAGGAATCTTCATTAAGAAGGTTCATTAAGAGTTCATCAAATGGTCCAGCTGGTTGAGCATCAAACCATGAACCAGGTCACGGTTTGATTCCAGGTGGGTTTACATGTCCAGGTTGAAGGCTCGATACCCAGGAGAGGATGTGGAGGAGGCAGCCGATCAATAATTAACTCATCGTTGATGTTTCTCTCCCCCTCTCCCTTCCTCTCTGAAATCAAGAAAAAAAATTTTTTTAAAAGTTCATCAGCCGAAACCGGTTTGACTCGGTGGATAGAGCGTCAGCCTGTGGACTGAAAGGTCCCAGGTTCGATTCCGGTCAAGGGCATGTACTTGGGTTGCGGTCACATCCCCAGTAGGAGATGTGCAGGAGGCAGCTGATCGATGTTTCTCTCTCATCGATGTTTCTGACTATCTCTCTCCCCTCCTCTCTATAAAAAATCAATAAAATATATTTTAAAAAATAATAAAATAAAAAAATAAAATGTATTATCTAAATTTTTGCTTCAGCTTGTATTAAAATAAGTTTGCAAGGAGGTAAAAAGGAAAGCATTCAAGTCAATAAGATTCAGGATAATATTTTTAATTTATTGAAAATAACCCTAACTTTTTTAGAGGTATACACCTCAAAAGTATCATTAAAGCCTTTGCTTAGTATAAAAGCAAAAACATTTACCTTTAAATTTAAATGCCTTCCTTGAACACTTGAATATAATACAAGCAATATTTGGAGACTGGAATTACATAGAACATTTTGAGAAATGAAATTCAAACGTCTCAGAATTGAGAATCAGTACTTTTATTACCCATGTTCTCATTCATTCAAGTCTGAATGTCATGGCCAGGCATGCAATACATCTTAATCCTAGAATTATGCAAAATTCAGGTCTTAATTGACTACTGGCCTGTTTAACCATTTACAAAATAAATAAAAGAAACCTTAAAATGTGCCTTAAAAAATTTAAGAACTAAGATTTCAATTTCACCTGTACTAACTTTCCAACAGGTGGGCCACATCTGAGCAAACTAGTGTCAAGACTCTGATATTTTACTCTACTTACAAGCTAACAAAGTAGCTTACCGTGGATGCTGGTAGAAGACATGAGATTCAGGTCACAGGCAAAGGGCAGTTTTTTACTTACAATAATTATATAAGTCAAAGCACCAACATTTTGCACCGGTTCTGAATCCCAGTTCCCACCAAGCAAAATGAAGAGGGCAGTAGACACAGGCAATGGGTTGTGTTACATGAGAAAAACCTATGCTTTGGGAACCCTAAACTTTTTTTCCCCTCTCTTCTTTTTTTCTCTCTGGGAACCCTAATCTTTATGATGAGCAGTAAGCATGCCTGTCTTTTACTCCAAAGGGAGGCATTTATCTTTATTATACTGGACCATATGCATGCCTGCGCTTTGCTCTGATGGAAGACACCATCTTCTAAGGCTGTTCCTTATACAAACATCCTTTTAAAACAGAAACAAAGGGCAGTCACTCTGCGGGCAGGACCTGCAGAAACAGAGAAAATTGTCTCCCTCAACCAGATACTGTTCCTAACATATAATTAAATGAGGAGTCTAACACTATAATCTATTTAAAACATTAATTTCATATACTCCTTGACCTAGCTCAATTATTTAATTAGCATTCATCTCAAATTAAAAAGGAATTCCCCCTTTTCAGTTACTTTGTATTTTTTAAATGAGGTGCTCAACTATTTGCAATATTAAAATTGAAAAAAAATCTCTCAAGTATCCCACCAGAAACAAATAATTACTGTACTTAAACTAAATTTAAATGTTCCAAACCTGTTAAAGTTAGCAATGGGAGCCACCTGTCAAAACTCTACCTGTAGTAGGTCCTATACAGTAACAACCACCACAAAGACCACAGAGGCTTCCACATTTCCAGCTGTTGTCTACAATTTACAAGAAAATCCTGCACCCTCAAATCACTTTGTTCTATTTTCTCTTTACCCTTTTACCGACTCAACATAAAATCTTCGAAAGATAAAAAAGACAAGAAGACACCGTCTCATCGTTCCTTTGTCCACAGCGGGGAGAGAGAACACCGGGTTCTCATGGAGCTGAAGAACCCGGAACACGCAAGACAGAGACAGAGAACAGACCACATCTGACCCGTAGTCAACCATCAAAGAAAGTCACTATCACTTCACCCGCATCACACACACACACACACACACACAGTGGGTCCAGGCGAGATGATCAGGATCGTCGGCACCTGGACAAAGCTTCGGGGAGGCAGAGGGTAGCGGTGAACTAGATGCACTTGGCCAAGAACCCGCGCCGCAGACAACAGCAGACTCCGACCGAGATTTTTCAAAAGTGCGGGTCGCCCGGAGGAGGCTGCCGGGGGGCCGAGCAGCGGCTGGGGCGCGCGAGCCAGGTCCCCAGCGCCGCCCGTGCAAGTTGCTCGCGGGGCGCGAGGGCCCGCCGGGTCCCGGCGCCCACACAAGACCCGCTTCCTCGCCCTTCCCCCTCCCCCCAGCGCCGCGCACCCCGGGCGGCGACGTGACAGTGGGTCCCGCCGCGCAGGGGCGCCCGCCTCCCCTCGGCCCTCCCTCCGCGCCCGCCTCTCACCTTGGGTGGCGAACGGCGAGGAGCCGCCGACCGGGGAGCCGGGGCCGGGGAGCAGCGGCGGGGTCTCGGCCGAGCCCAGCACGGGCGCCGGCAGCATGAGGAAGCGCTGCGGCGCGGGCAGGCAGCGCTGGCAGAAGGAGTGCAGGCAGGGCAGCAGCTTGGGCGCGCGGCTCTGGATGTTCTGGTGGCACACGGCGCAAGTGTCCAACAGGTTGAGCCGGGCCGCCTCGCCTCCGCGCTCCGAGTCCGGGCCCTGCCGACTCTCGGCCTCGTTCTCTCCGCTCGGCGCTGCCGAGGGTCCCCCGGCGGCTGCCGCCGAAGCCGCCGCGGGCGCCGTCGCCGCCTTCTCCACAGCCACCTCCATTGTCCTGCCCCCCGCCGCCGCCGCCGCCGCCGCCGCCGGGGAAGGGGGAGCGCGGTCCCCGCCCGCCGCCGCCGCGGCTCCCGACGACCTCCTCCTTCTCCTCCTCCTCGCAGGCCGCTCGGGTGGCCCGCGGGAGAAGGAGGGAGGGAAGGAGGGCGGAGGAATCCTTCTCCGGAACCGGGGATCCGCCTCCCGGGTGGCGCGGCCTGAAAAGGGGGTTCTGTCAGCGGGGACGGTTCCTCGCTCCAGGGAGGCTGCGCTCCGCCCGCTTCGCCAATGGCCGGGGAGCTCAACAAGCCCGCCCAGCCCGACCGAGCCTCCCCGCTTTTCTCTGGGGCCTGAGCCCGCCTCGGTCCCCGCCCCCTCTCCCAGCAACTGAAACAACGGCTGGCAGCGCGTCGTCCAATAGCCGCCGCGCCTGGCCAGGGGGCGGGGCCTGCCTTAGCCCGCGAGGCTCCGACGGCGCTGCGGGAGGCTGGGAGGTGGGCGGGCGCTCGTTTAGCCCCGCCCCTCGGGACTCTGGAACCGCGGCCTCTGATTGGGCCTTTGTGTGCGTTGAAAGATTAAGGGTTTATTTGTTCACCACGGACCGCCTAATCCGATCCGCCTGTGTTGGTTCCTCCTTTAGGGCGGGGCTTCAACCGCGTCTAGGAGTTAATTGCTTTCAAAACTGGGTTTATTACTGGAGAAGGGGTCCTGTAGGAAGAGTGAGCATGGTGGGAGGGTCAAAGGATGACAAAGTGGAGGTAGTGAAAAGCGAGTAAGGGATGAATTTTTAAATTGGAAAATGTGGGGAAAAGATGTGGAGGCAGCATGGGTTTTGCCACCTGAATGCACTCATCTATATGATGAATGATGGAGCATGAAGAATAAGGGGAAGCTTCTCTTACAAGTAAGAAATTTTTGAAGAATTTCGCCACTGGAAAATAAATTAATTTTTCAAGTCAATGATTTGCTTTTTAAGTAAAAATTGATCATTTTCCAAGGAATTAAAATATAAAGATTGTTTGCAAATGTCGTTATTGCATATATGCATTATTACAAGAAATAAAAATAAATATATATCCCAATAATAGAGATATCCCAATTATTCATAAATTCAATATTCTTTTTCATTCCCTCCCCCTTCTTTTACACACACAATTTTACTCAAAAAATAGACAAACTTTTAAGGAGCTTTAAGAACGAAGGTTGGGGGGGAAAGCTTTCTTATATACTAGTACACGAGACTGTTTAAAAATTTGTATGGCGGTGCCATTTTTAAGTACAAATAAAGTAGTGCTGGAACTCTGAGGAGAGTGGAGTGGGGTCAGAAAAGGTTTTGTTAAAATTGTAATGATTTTGGAAGAAGAAATGGTGGATAAACTCTAGGCATCCTAGCATACCCTCAACACCTTACTTTCACAAAAGATTCCTCTCCTACCAGCCTCTTTTCAAAACAGGTAATTAAATCCAATTTCCATAAGCCTCTTGAGTGAAGTCTTTTCTTTTTTCTTTCTTTTTTATTTTTTCAAATCTTTATTGTTGAAAGTATTATATATGTCCTCCCTTTACCCCCCTTCCACCCCTGTAATTTCCCCCTCTCCCATGCCCATGGTTGAGCCAAGTTCTTTTTTTTAAAATATATCTTATTGATTTTTTTACAGAGAGGAAGGGAGAGGGATAGAGACTTAGAAACATCGATGAAAAAGAAACATCGGTAAGCTGCCTCCTGCACACTCCCTACTGGGGATGTGCCCTTGACCAGAATCGAACCTGGGACCCTTAAGTCCGCAGGCTGATGCTCTATCCACTGAGCCAAACTGGTTAGGGCAAACCAAGTTCTTTAATGAACTCAAATGCTATTTATTTTTTATGCTAGTAGTTTGTTAAGAATCACTGGCAGCTAGTTTAAAAGCTGGTTCTTTGCCCTGGCCAGGTGGGACAGTTGTTAGAGCATCCTCCCTCACACCAAATAGTTGCAGGTCCGATTCCTCCTGATCAGGACACATAACTAGGTTTCCGGTTCCACTACAGGTCAGGGCGCCTATAGGAGGCAACCAATAGATGTTTCTCTCACATCAATGTTTCTCTCCCTCTTTCTCTTCCTCTCTCTCTTAAAATCAATAAGAACATACCCTAGGGTAAGGATTAAAATAATTAATAATAAATAAACAGCAAATAAAAAAAATAAAGCTGGTTCTTTGGGCCCATCCCCATATTTACTTGTAGCTGCAAGCAGCATTTCATGATTTTATCTGGGTGCTCTATGGAGAAACAGGCCTAGTCTGAATTTCTTTACTGTCCTGCCCATGATTTCATTGCCATTCACCTCTCAAGCTGAAGCTCCCACTATTGCCATGCTTTAGTTTTAATGCCTCCTGCTGAGCACATACTAGTTCATATCCCTCTGTTTTGGAATGCCCTTACTTCAAAATTCAGACTTACCTGTTGTCTTCCTAAAACACCACAAAATCCATCACTTCTTTCCCAGTACTTATTCTATACCCTAACTTTTTGTATCTGCACCTGGAAAATCCTTACATACTAGAAAATAAAAATCTGTTACAAGTTAATGATTTTAATATGATAATTCATAAAGATGAGTCCTTCTTATTCCACCAAATGGTTGCAGGTCTGATTCCTCCTGGTCATGGCCCATAAGAAAGAATGAGAGATGAATTGGGGAAGACAGAATTCCATGAAATTTGCTATAACCCACTAGTTTAGTTTCTCAATCACAATGGATAATCAGTGTTACAGAAAATTATCTTCTATACTCCTAAACTTTGTAGTCTTGTCTAATAAAAAAAATCATATGTTTTAGTTAGTTCAAATAGAGATAGCTCTGAGTTTTTTAAAATCCAAAAAAATGAATTTATTTAACTCCTAGATCTGGGCAGAGTAAGTGGATGCTCCCAGGAACAAATTGGTATTACTACTGAAATACAGAAAAACTTCCTGAATAATCAACAGAAAACTTGCAGGAGAGAACCCTAACACCCCAGGACTAAAAGTGGGGACCTCATAGAGACTGATAGGAGTGTCAGGGGCAGGAAAGGGTAGGCCAGGTACCCACAGACAGCAACTGAAGTCCCAGAGAGATATCTCAGCTGTGGGGGGGTTGCCACTGAGACCTCTGGGATCTAATCCCCAAGGTCGGCCCCCCATCAGAGAGCACCAGAACTAAGGAGGGTACCCACACAACATCTGGTTGTGAAAAGCAGCAGGGTGCAGTCTGCCTGGGAGAGATGGCTGAAAATTTAGCACTGTCTTAAAGGGCCAATGTTCAAAATTCCATGTGGAGCCACCCACCTTGTGCTCCAGCAGAGGGAGGGTGAAGTGGACTAGAACTGTGAGAGCAGAAGCTAGGACTGGGGACACGGGGGATAGAGTTCAGAAGACAAACACCCTAAGTTTCCTGGGTTGAGTCATTCCCTTATGCAGCCAAGGACATCATTCACACATACACATCTACCTTGCCTTGGGGGAAGACAGCTGACACACCCTATTGGAAAACACCTTGCCCTGAGGCCACTTAAGAGATTAAAAATAACAATTAGCCTTCAGGCAGTAGCAACTACCCCACCCTATTGGGAAAAGAAAACTCTTGCCACACCTGGGGACTATTGTCTGGGGGCAATTCCAGTCAGAATCCTATAAGTCTGTAGGCGGAGGCGGTCTCTGGAGGCTTTGAGTCCTTGCCTGATCTAATTAGTCAGAAACAGGCTTTAACGCTGTCCTGCACTAGAGATAGAGAGGTGTAGAGCAAGCATGTCACAAAGGCTAACATGGGCCAAATAAACAAGGTTTACATTTATGTGGGTCACAAAAAACAAAAGCTTCAATTTTCATAGAAACGTAGGTTTATTTCAATACAGACATGCTGAATACAAAGGGCTAAAATAAATGAGTAATCGTTAACATAATAGAACATTTTAATAAAAATTAGTATTTTTCTTGAAAATTAACGTACCAGACACTGAATAACTGCACCAATTAATAAGTGTAATGCAAATAGACCTATTTTTCTTGCTCTACCAAAGGGAAATATTTCCTGTTGCACACACCAAACAAGTCAGTCCAAGACTAATGATGTGGCAATCAGCTGCTAAAATACTCACTGCTAGTATTAGTGGAGAGAAATGGTGCACCTGCATGTAAGGCGCATAAGGGAAATGAAAGCAACACGATTATAGTAATCAGTCATTAGCAAACATTGTAGTTTGTTATTAATTATTATCTACTAGAGGCCTGGTGCACAAAAATTTGTGCACTCGGGGGGGAGGGGGGGTCCCTCAGACCGGCCTGTGGCCTCTCACAGTCTAGGACCCCTTGGGAGATAACGACCTGCTGGCTTAGGCCTGCTCCCAGTTGGCAGAGGGCAGGCCCAATCCGTAGGTGCAGCCCCTGGTTGGGTTCAGAGCAGGGCCGATTGGGGAGTTGGGGCACCGCCCCCTGTCATGCACAGAGCAGGGTGGATCAGGAGGTTGCAATGCCACCCTCAGTCACGCTCAGGGTAGGGCCGATTGGGTAGGGCACCACCCCCTGTCACACTCAAGGCAGGGTCGATGGGGAGGTTGTGGCGCCACCCCCTGTCACGCACAGAGCAGGGCCAATCAGGGGGTTGGGGCGCTGCCCCCTGTCACGCACAGAGCAGGGCCCATCAGGGGGGTTAGGGCTCTGTACCCTGTCACGCACAGAGCAGGGCCGATCAGGGGGTTGGGGAGCTCCCCCCTATCAGGCACAGAGCAGGGCTGATCAGGGGGTTGGGGCTCCTTCCCCTGTCATGAACAGAGCAAGGTGGATAGGGAGGTTGTGGCCTCACTCCCTGTCACACACAGAGCCGCAGAATGATCAGGGGGTTTGGGCGCTGCCCCCTGTCACGCTGATCCCGGTGCCGGGAGGCCTCGCGGCTCTGCTGATCCCGGTGCTGGGAGGCATATTACCCTTTTACTATATAGGTAGAGGCCTGGTGCACGGGTGGGGGCCGGCTGGTTTGCCCTGAAGGGTGTCCTGGATCAGGGTGGGGGTCCCAACTGGGGTGCCTGGCCAGCCTGGGTGAGGGGATGATGGCTGTTTGCAGCTGGTCACACACCCTTCAGGGTGGGGGTCCCCACTGGGGTGCCTGGCCAGTCTGGTTGAGGGGCTGAGGGCTGTTTTCAGGCTGGTGGGTGACTGAAGCTCTCAACTGCTCCTTTTTTTCTTTTTTTTTTATTCTGGGCCAGCTTTAGCTCTGGCTCC